GAAACTTCAGTGGGTGCACAACTGACTAAAGTCTGAATGGCTATACATTAGCCATAAGAAATTCGAACTGTTTGCCCCGGTTCTTGACATTCTGGGATGCAAGGTTGACGGCCATGGGGTCCATGCAGACTCTGATAAAATGGCGAAGCTTTGTGCTTGGCGTGAACCTTCAGACCACCGGGAAGTGCTATGCTTCCTAGGCCTAATAGAATACCTTGCTCGATTTATGCCTAATGTTAGCACATACACTGGTCCTTTGCAGACCATTTGCACTAACAATCTGCCTTTCTTCTGGTCACCGCTGCACCAGAAGTGTTTCGATAACATAAAGAATCTCGTGTGCAAGACACCGATTCTAAAACCAATCATCTGGCAAGTACCAGATGGTCTCTCTGAACATGAGAGGAACAGATTTTGAGTCTGGGTTATTACTGACGCCTGCCCTGCAGGCATCAGGGCTATTTTGGCTCAGGGTGCCAGCTGGGAACTATCCTGCCCAGCTGCCTTCATGTCGAAGAAGTTTACTTCGACACAATGTTCATACTTCGCATATGAACTGGAAGCCCTGTCCAAGTGGATGGACGAATTGACTGCAGGGCATGAATTTACAGTCGTTACAGACCATAAAGCCCTCACCTACTTCAAACAGAAGCAGCACACTTCTGGGCACCACATAAGGTGGCAAAACTTCTTTATGGCTTCAAGTGCAACATCTTGTATGTCGAGGGCCACAAAAACAAAGTGGCTGATGCACTCAGCCGCTATTACGAGTCTTCGTTGGATGAAGACCTTCATTATGACGACTTTGTCTCTGCAGATGTCCACATAGACAAATTTGGAGATGACCTCCCTCTAAGTCATATTGAAGAGGCAGAAGAAATGCTTCTTCTGCACCGGCTTTCGTTACGACTCGCTACAGCGAGTAGTGTGATCGAAGGCCATGACTTGGAAGCCGCGGTCCTAGACCCCCCTGACAATTGTTCAGGGAGGAGCGAGCTGACACTTGCTGGCATTGTACTGCCTGAGGATTCCCTCAGGAGTGTTGTTGAGGAAGACGACTTCCTCTCCTCTGTGAAAGAGGGGTATGCCAAGCATGCAGCTTGGCAAGGGATTCTAGAGAATCCCAGACAATTCCCAAGATTTAAGGTCGAGAACGGCCTTATTTCAAAGTTGAATGACTTGGGAGAACCATGTCTGGTTCTCCCAGATGTCATTCATAAAGGGGAGAAGGCGACTGGGATCGCCGTCCAAAATGCACATGAGATCCTAGGTCACCTATGATTCCATAAAACCTTAGAATATTTATGCCGCTACTATTGGTGGTCTACAATGGTATGCGACGTGGAGAAGTATGTCTCCTCCTGCGAAACGTGCCAGACCACCAAGCGGTCTACTCGATGAAGAGCTGGGCTGTTGCACCAGCTGCTGATTCCAGAGGCCCCATGGTCCTCTATATCAATGGACTTTGTTGGTCCTTTCCCAGCAAGTCTAGATCATAACTACCTCTGGGTAGTTATGTGCTGTTTGACTTCGCAGGTTCACTTGATACCTGTGAAAACCACAATCAATGTGCTAGAACTCGCATATGAGTTCTTGAAAGGCATCGTGTGCCTTCACGGACTCCCAAGATCCATAGTGTCTGACAGAGACACTAAGTTTACGTCCAAATTTTGGACAGAATTACACAGGTTACTCAGCGTTCATCTAAAAATGACGACCGCTTTCCATCCAGAAGGCGATGGACAAGCTGAACAAATGGTTCAGAGCGTTGTCCAAGTAATTCATGCAGCTGTTTGGCCAGATGTCAGGGTTCAGCACCCTGCCTTAGGGTGCCCCGGACTCCCCACCTACTTTACCCCCTTTATTCTTTGACTGTTGCCTTGTTGTTGCCTTTGTGTGTTGTGTACATGTGCGCATGGGATAGCGTGGGAACATTCTGAGCGAGCAGCTCGCCCAGAATGTTCCCACGGGTCACAGCCACAATTCTGGGCAAGCAACTTGCCCAGAACGTTCCCACGCTTACTGGGCACTGCCACCTGGATGTTCCCTCCGGGTCACACTACACAACTCTAGGAGCTGTATAGTTGTGGGCATGTGACCCATTCCTTTATATAGCAACTATGCGGGGAGATGAGACCTTTACCCTTCTTCTCATCTCATGCCCCACATAGGCAAGTGTATATATTCCCTTCCTTTTACTATACATCTCATGCCCCACATAGTGTGAGGACAGGTTAGATGGGGGTTGAGGTCAGGGAGCCTCCGAGTCCGAGGCCGGGCCCTGACACCAGATCAGCACGACTGGGTACTAAAAGTCCCTCTTGCCGAGTTCACGATAAACTCGAGCGTGAATAAATCGACAGGGTATGCCCCTTTCGAACTTATCTATGGGACAATACTCTGTATGACAGTGGAAGTTCCACTGACTAACCTCCCTGGAGTGGGCGCCTTTGCACAGACAGCGTTAGATAACCTCCACTGGGAAGTAAAATATCAAGAATTCACACACTGTACAGTTATCCCACGGATCCAAGGATTTGTCCTCTTTCAGTCACAGCGGGCACGTTGGGTAGGCATAACCCCTCTCCCTTGGATGTTGTCCTTTGTGCAGCGCCTGTGCTAGTGTTCAACCAGTGAGTCTCATTCCAGTGCCGAAGGACGCTATAATTTACATGCATGCTTTAGACTTGCCATACCGCTGCACCAGTTCATGATACAACCCACACCCCACTTCCATGAGTGCCCCAATCTGGGTCTGATAGTCCCCTATACCTCCGACACCCCCGTTATATATCCCTTACGTATACAAGCTCATCCCCAAAATTTTCAATGCACATCCATTTTCATTTGTGAATTTACTAGCAAATCCATATGTACTTCTACAAGTGCATCATCCCACATGTAATGGTACCCGCTATCAATCGCTGTCCTACTCCATGGGCAAGAGTGCAAGTTGGAATCATAGGGACAGTTGGTGCTAGTGATGGAACTTGAGATAGGACTGGCATTATAACCGTTACATTCAAGCTAGAATCATCCATTTCAGAGCATATACACCCAGTCCATCATGAAGCATAGCACACACTATCAGCCCTGGTGGTGAGTCAGGAGGAAAGTGTGGACAGACAAGTGCCCAACGTTGTTGTTGTTGTTGTTGTACTCTATTTTGTTACCCCGCAGCCGCGTTTGTACGTGGCAGTGCGGCTAGCCCAACTAATAATTAGTACATGAGGGGCTCGTCAATACAAGGTAGGGTTGTCTGGTTGGTGTGGTCGCAAGTGCCCAACGTCGACTTCAACTACCAGTTGCATGGTTACATAAGCCAAGCACCTGATACCTCAGACGGATTTAACGAACCCAGGGACACTCCAGTTTAGACTCCAGTTTAGAGTGCTTACTGTGAACGCCCTCAAATCGTGTCTTAACAGCGGCTTAAGCCCACTCCAAAACTCGCTCCAGTATTGTGCAGTTTAGACTCGATTTAGACTCTCAGTTTAGCCCAATCTAGCTTACCGTGAAACCCCCTATTGTTACCTGGGGTCGATGCAGTAGAAAATTTGAATAAGGAAAGCAAATTTCCTTCTATTCCCACACAAGGGGCTAATAAAGTGCCCCATCCTACTTGCTCCCAACAGACTACCCGCTTGGGAATAGTCTTATGGCCTAATGAAGGGCAATTATGGCGCTAGTTGCCATATTTGGGTTTTGCCTCCGGGGTATGAACATTGTTCCCACAGACAAAACTTCATCCTTCTTCTTTTCCCCCATCATGTCTGAGCAAGTGCAAGAAAATTTCAGGAGGGAAATGCTGCCCGACGATGACCGTGGGCAAAGCCCATGATCGAACACCACCCCCATGGACACTGAGACCACGGGTCCCACTTTAGACAATGTTCAACATACTTCGACGCCGCTGTTGCAGGGATAAACCCTTGCACTACAAAACACTGCTCTTTCATTCTTTCATGTACATACATTGGCGAGTGTAGTTTGGGTAGTCCCGTGACTGCACAGCCACAACTATACAACACCGTACTCTAGGACCTCTTTTAGTGACAGTCAGTGAGGCCATGAGACTACTGTCCCCCCTGTGAGCCTGTGTGACATTGGGATGGATTTCCCTGTTACACCGCCAGCGCCTCCAATATCCCTAATCCTACCCTGATACCAACAGTATCAGGGCATCCTTCCCCTGTGATGGATGCGCAAGCTACTGCAGCTTACACTGTGTCCAACCATCAGACAATGGGCCCGCAATTTTTCATGGACTTGATGGCGCCAGGACAAGCGCCACCATTGCCATACTTTAACCCCAATCTCTGGGGTTACCACCCTTCCCTCCCTCATGGAGCACCCACTCCTGAAGCAGCTCACCAGCCGCATGCTACAATGTCAGGGTCTTTCCTGACTGAACTCCTTACAGATGCAAATGCCCGTGTTCGACATCTTGATGACGAACTGTCACAGTCTCAAGAAGGGACTCGACGTATCCAAGAAGAAAACATAGGGCTCCATGAGGAACTCTTTCACATCAAGCTCGAGAACCAGCATCTCACCAGCGAGTTGCGGGAAGTCTCGTTACACCGGGATTTCCTCCAACAAAAGTGCAACTTGCTGGAAAGGGACCTCAAGTCATTTGAAAAAGGTTGCAAGGAAGACGAGGCATTGCGCCCTCAAAAAATCCCTCACACAGAAATGTGTACCCAGAACGCCCCCATTGAGAGGGTGCATTGTGTAGACGACAACTCTCATCCACACCCTGGACCAGCCAAACTGGCCCGTCCTCAAGTACCCATTGCTGACCCAACGGTGAGCTGTAGGGTCCAATCTAATACATCCAATCCCAAGTCAGGAAAAGAGTGGGCACTGCATCACCCCTCCTACCACTCGAATATTCATGGTTCCGGCTACCTAGCAAGAATCGTTCTCCTTCTCCTGGAACATGGAGTTACCATTAGTGGCCAGAGGTGGCTAATCACCACCGAAATAGGCCATCGTCAATGGCGATGGGACAACTTCGTACTCCCATTCCTGATTACAGTGAATGGGTTTAAATTCCTGGTCGACCTCAAGTGGATCGACCAGCAGGTTGGGGCAGCTGGGGTTATCGATGATGCCCCAGGCGATGTTTGCGACCTTCATGCTCGTTACTTTGAGCTGAAATTCGAGGGCAGAAGGAATCCTTCCGCAGATGACTTCGACAAGAGGTATGGGTACATCCAAAGGACTCCCAAAATTCTCAATGAGGCAGGGATGAAGTACATCCTGCTGTCGTTGTGGAGGCATCATCCCTCCAACGAGGCAAGGGCTCGTAGGGCAGCCAATACGACCACCTTCAAATTCTCGAAACTGCATGTGGGTGACTACCCCGTACCTCCTCCCCCTCCATCACGGTCAGGGCACTTCGTGCCTGAACCAGCTCCACCTGTGCCTCCACAAAAGACACGGGTTTCTCTCTCTCAATTAATGGATGGTAACTATGGCCATCTACCCACCGCCGTTGTTATAAAAATGGGGCCTAATTGGCCCATTTCTATAGCGTTCAGGTGCAGGAGGGGGCCGTGACATTGAGAAGATGTTACAATTAATGTAACAGGTGTTGTAACAAAGGTGTTTACAGTAACATTGACATCGGGTTTTTGGGTAGTAATTGTTGGTTAGGTTCTTGTTATATACATGTCACGTGATAATATACTGTACAGAGGCCATAAGAGGCTAAAAATGGGAATTTCCCATTTCCATAACAGCCGTGCATCCTCCCACCCCACCGCCTATCCCCGATGAGGACGAGGATATGAAGAGTGATGGTGAGGCGACTACAGGGTCAGTTGACGAGGCTGCCCCTCTTCCTGAACATTGTTTCCCTGCTGCGATCCGGTCTGAGACCGAGGCCACTGTTGCTGGTCCTTCGGACCTTTCTAGTGCTGCTGTTTCGGCTACCGCTGGCCCTTCCTCCAAGAAAGGTAAAGCAAAGAAGGTTTAATCACCTTCTCTTCATCAAGGTATATGTGCCTCATTTAACATGGAGGGGTTAATCACCCCCCGTTCTATCATCCGCTCTGGTGCATCATTCGTACCGCTGAGGCCTAACTGCCTCATTCATCATTTTTTTTGCTTTCTGCTCTGGGACTGTCGTAACAATGGTTCTGCAAAGGCCTAACAGCCTTTGCTTTGCTATGTTCTCCACCCCATTCTCTAGACCATCATAATAACGGTTGTGTGAAGGCTTGATGGCCTTCACTTCCTTATTTCCTCTGATCTGCCAAAACAGCAGGTCGGTGGAGGCCTAACAGCCTCTACTTTATATCTTTTCTTTGGTCTGTCGAAACAACAGACCTGTGGAGGCCTAACAGCCTCTGCTTTATATCTTTTCTTTGGTCTGTCGAAACAACAGACCCATGGAGGCCTAACAGCCCCTACCTTGCAGTAATTTCGGGATCCATCGAAACAACGGATCTGTGGAGACCTAACAGCCTCTACTTTCACTTAATCCTGAAACCGTCATAATAACGGTTTCGTCAAGGCCTAACAGCTATCGTTTTTAATTCTTTCTTGAATAATTCTTGTAAAATTTTGAGGGGAATGGCTTAATCGCCATTCCCCACCTTATATTAATTTCTTGACAACTTCTTGTTATACCTGCCTGTGCAATATTAATATCACAAGGGAGGAGAGTGTAAGGGATATAGGCCACGTACTTGCAGCCTACCTTATTCATTCTTCATTCTTTATTTATCGTGTCAGGTTTGTACCCGATGCGACACTTCTATTCCCGAACCCTTCATTTCTACCATGCGGTCCCAAGCCGCAACTATCACATGTATATACAATAATGTATTTAACCTACATGCGAGGGGGGTAAAGGCTTCCCCAGCCTTTTACCCCCCTGTTGATAAATACAGCTTCATACAGTGTACTTCAACGGACTGGGAGTGTAAGGCAAACTCTGACTGTCGCGAGACCACTCGCGAACTCAACCTTTAACAAGGCTTACTGTTATGGAAATGGGAATTTCCCATTTTAGACTCTTATGGGTTCTGTATCATGTGATTTATATAGTAATATAGTTTATCCAATCAATTAACCACCTAAACTACCACTTGTGAAAACATCTGTTAAACCACATGTTAAAATATCTGTAAAATCGCATGAGCTCAACCTCTACCCCTTTCCCTCTTCCTGCACCTCGAACAGACGAAAATGGGCGCCTCTGGCCCCATTTTTGTAACACTTACAGTTGCTGAGGCCGAAGCCCTCCACCACAGAGACGTATCCTTTGTCTTGCATCTGGTCTCTAACACTTACTGCATGCCCACTGAGCACTTTGGCCTCTGTACCTTACAATCCAGTTATATATATTAATAGTATGTCCAGTCTTAGTGTTAGAGATGGGGGTCTCTGCCAGTTCCAGAGAGGAAACAGAGACTTAGTGATTAGGGACCTTGGCCTCAGCAACTCAGGTGGAGTGCTGTGCCATTGCTGTTTGTCCTGCTGGTCCATAATTTCAGGCATATCAAGGGTAAAGTCTCTAGGGGGCATAGGTATGTACTTGAATTGAGTAGACTAGGTTGCTCAGGTCATTTACTGACTGAGGAGTGTGTCAGAGTCGGGATCTTTGTCAGAGGCTGGATTATTGTCGGAGTCGGAGATTGTGGCAGAGGTCTGTTGGAGCGCGCGCACGGATATGCGGGCGGAAATATGCGGCGCGTCCGGAAGCGCTGTCCAAGGTTAGCAGAGTGGGATCGCGGCCTCAGCGACTCAGGTGGAGCGCTGTGCCCTGAGCTTGACGTTTGGGGGAGATCCCGTATTTACAAACTGACACTTACAGCGGACTTCAAACAAGACTTGCGGGCGGAGCGGACCTATAGGAGGAGCACGGACTCCGTGAGCACGGACTCAGAGGGGGGGAAGCCCCCTTTGCAGAAGGAGAGACTCAGAACAGACAGGGGGGGGTACTCTAGTTGATTTCAGACTGGGGTCCCCGAAAGTATTTACAAGGTATATAAATAGGCAAGAGGGAATATAGAAAGGCCGGTCAGTCCGGCGCGGTCCGGCGCGGAGATAAGCGGGAATTGTCAAACTAAATAAGGACAAGAGCCCGGGAACTGGAAACGAGGAACAGATCAATAAACAATAAGTGGCAAGGGTTATTGATGAATAACTGAATGAGATCAATAACCTAGTGCCAATAAAGAGGGGATCAAATGCCGATATTGGCAGGGAAGCAAACAATAAATGGCACTCGGCAAGGAATGAATGATAAGCTGCCAAGTGACAAATGGCCAGAGGAAAAGCGGAGGTCAGCGCGCGGCGCCGATACAAGTCCGCAAATAAGCGGGGTCGGTGCGGTGCCGACACAAGTCCGCGAACAGAGGTTGATCTGCCAGCACTGTCACACAAGGACAGCATGAAGGCCAACAGAGGTACAGAGGGGAGTGGGAGTGTTGACCTGACCAGAGGTGTCAAGGGCAACCAGAAGTGGCCAGAAGGTGCAGAGATGGGCAGAGGGTGCGGAGTGGGCAGAGGGTGCGGAGTGGATGGAAGCGGGGCATGGCTGTGACCACATAGCGGGAAGCGATGAGTGTGGTTCAGATGGAGACAAGGCAGGCGTGACTGAATGCTGGGAGCGCCAAGGGCTCAGGAACTGGAGGTAAGGTCGGAATACCGGCAGGGTCTAGGTTCTGATTCTTGGCCAAGTCTCACGCAGTAAGGCAGGGGGCCAGACATGGGGTTGGGGGCTGGTTAGGATGGGTTTCGGGTCGGCGGATTCGCCTATCGGCATTGGTTTGCCGCTGACAGAGCCCCGGGATTTGTCGGTCATGACAGAGTGAGTGAGTATGTACAAGCATCTATATCTAACATATAAATAATCATGGTTGGGCTTTTATGAGATCTGATTGGCTCGGTTTACCCTGAAGCCATGTTTTGAACCTCTTTCATTGGCTGCTCCATCTTACCTAATCAGTGTAGAGGGTTCTAACTGGTTTCATCTTTGCTCACCTCTCAGGCTTTTTATACACCCCAGTGTAACTTACATCATCCTTTGACCCTTACATCATAATGTGTCTTTCATTGCATTCCTGTTCTATGCACCACCATTACTCCATTCACAACTCCATCTCGACTTTGACTGGCAACGTTCTGTGCATCTGTCATATCCATGCATACCCGATCCCGACCTGACTTCCAGACCTCCTCCTTCCCCACCTCCAGAATCCTACCCTACTGCTGTCCGTTCCGATATTCACCTTCGGTCCTGGCACCACACCACCCTTCACCTCCCATGCCACCTCCACTCCTCCATCACTCTCCTGTCCTATCTCCATCCGCTCCGATAACCACCTCGGACTGAACACCACCCCTCTCGCCACCCTCCTCCTACTCCTCCGCTCCCTCCTCACAACACCTCCACCCTTCCATCATCCTCCTACTCTTCTCCCGTCCACTCCGATACCCACCTTCGGACCTGACACCTCTCTCTCTTCCTTCCCCTCTCTTCCCTCTGGTCCTCTTCCACCGACCTCCCGCCAAGTTATGACCTTCCGCCACTGACCCGTACTTCGTACTCGGGCACCGCTCGTACCTTTGCTCCGAGCCTCCATCATAGTTCCTACCTCGGACTTTGACTCCACCTCGGTCTTAGTCCATTGCATTGGTGACCTCATACTACGTAAACACCATTGCCAATATTCCTCAGACTTTCAACCCTGCCTCCGTAAGCTCCGCAACCTCCGAGCTTTGTTGTTATAGGAATGGACCTAGAATCTTATGGTCCGTGACTATGAACAATCAAACCCTTGGTCCCTGCACCTTTATTTCGCTGTCAAACCCCATGCCAAGCTTTCCCACTGGGTTTTGGTGCTGGCTGGGGAATTTGTTGAGTTTCAAGGGACTTCCCTTGACCATTGTGACTTTTATATTAGATAGTTAGAGGTCATATGATGTGTAAGGCAGATGCCGAAAAATGCTTTCTCATTATCGAATACATAACCCAAAAACCTTGTACCGCAATTGTAACATCCTCACCATTGTGCCACCACTGTAAACTCGACCTGTAACCTTGGAACCATGTCCACCTCCCTATTCATCCTCTCCATGACAAAACCGCAATGAGGAGGGCATTCCCACACCCAACCTCCTGCTGCCTGCTCCCACCAGTCCACCGGGTGGTTGAGCAATCACTCCCATCCAACCAGAAGTTCCCTATCAGGAACTGTAGCCTATCCCACCTCCTTAGGAGAGGGATATGGTCCAGGCAGCTCCAGGATGCCTGGCCACACACCCGCAGGTCCCACTTCCCACGGTCACCCACTACCGTGCACTGGTCCACCAACCCGCTTTCCCCAACAACTCCCGCTACCGGTACGCTCCCATGAGCGCCAAGTCACTGATAGCCACCATCTGGGTGACTCCCTTTGGGAGTCCCAGTATCCCTCACTACCGGCACGCTCCATTGAGCGCCAAGTCACCGTTAGCCAAACACTCCCAGCACACCCGCTACCAGCACGCTCCCAGGAGCGCCAAGTCCCCGTTAGCAGACAGCCAGGTGGCTCCCTCAAGGAGCCCTCATCATACTCGCTACCGGTATGCTCCCAGGAGCGCCAAGTTACCGTTGGCCAACCCACAGGTTGTACTTCCGTACACTCTTCCTATTCCGCTCTCCCTCCGATGGCTACGCAGCCACCTCCATCAGTGAGTCGAACGGCTCAGGTTGGGTCCCCCGGAACCCATTCCCATAACATTCGTGGATCATCTTCGGCACTTTCGCCACTTGTAATGTATTTCTCGCATTTTCCCCTCATCCCTATTTGGACTGCTGCTTCTTCCCATTCTAGCCAGTTAGTCATCATCCCCAGTTCCCCTCATCCTCCTGCCCCTCTGGGCCTTGCCCTCCTTACCTCCTTTTGGACATATCACAGGTTCTGCCTTATGACCTTCGGTACCGCTCTGCTTCTGTCATCCCTTTATTCCCATTCGGACGCC